GCTGGTTATAGACTTTTCTATATGAATTTATTGATCTAGCTCAATAGACGGCTGTCGGAAAAAAACAAGCAGAAAAGCAACATGACAGCTATAAATAAACAAACCTCCCAACAAATGCTGGGGGGAAATAACAGGACAGTGACATACTGCCAGGTTCCAACATGAAGTGGCTGGAGCCTAGAGATCATAAGAACACTAAACTGTTATAAAGCCCTCTCAAAAGAGGAAGGGGGATCAGTTCCCAGGGGCTCTCCAGGGAGACAAGCCAACAGAGAGACGCTCTGGAGCAGGAGTCTGGGGAAGTTGGGTCTTTCCCAGATCCAGGGAATGGTAATGGTAAGAAGAACCCTGCACAGATACAAAATTTGGATCCGCATCTATCCTCAAACATGGTCCACAGATGTCCGCATCCATGGATAGAAAGCATATATCCGCAGATTTGTAAGGCTCTAATGGTAAGCCTTGATATCACAGTCCTGGCAAAGCTCCCTCTACTGGACGCTAACCAGGCTGCTGTGTTTAGGTCCCACCTCAATGAGCCCTATGCACGTTAAGCTTGCTGAATGAGTAGGCTTCAGCATTGTCTCATTTTAGGCCTCTCTGGCACACTCCCTGGGCACAAGCTCTCTATTTGTTACCCCTTCAAGAAAATGGAACCTGGCAGTCCAGCTGCCCTATGCCCTGAGGAGCTGTGATGATCTTCTTCACATTAAGACACACCTATACACCATTCCCTGCCTCAGTTTCTTCACCATTCTGGAGCATTCTCTGGGCTTAGGCTAGGCTACTTTAGGGTGTCGAGGATCCTCCTCGTGCAGCTAATGGTTCTTCTCTGCATCATGAATGTATGTCTCTTCTCTCCCCCGCCCCCACCCAGCCAGCTTCCTTTGACCTTTGCTGGTCCTGCAGTCAGAAATCCCCTCTGCTACAAAAGCATGCCTCTTGTACCTCTCCCTTGTCCTAATTTTCCTCTCTCCCGCTAACTGACCCAGTCTCTGTTTTAAAGAGCTCATCTTTTTGTTCCTCCTTCTGGGGAAATACTACTGCTTCAAACCCCAGCCCTCTACAGAGAAATTGGGGGTGGGGGATGGGAAATGGTTCTCCTAGCTTCAACCAACCCATTATGCTAACGTGCTACCATTTCAATTGGGCAACCATCAAGATAAATTAAGAAGAATGAATGGTCTGGGAGATGTGTGGCACAGCTCTGATAGCAGATGGTGGATTCTTCATATACTGAGGCATTCAGTGAAGCAGCAATTTAAGAAAATCAACTCAAATTCATAGGTTGGTTACATATAGATTGATTCCCCAAGTTGTCACAGTTGGGGATAGTAAGATATGTTTTCTCTTTGGTTCTAAATAAGTAGTACTTTGCTTTAAGAAGGCTATTTAGCCACTGTATTAACCATTGGTCACTGCTTCCCAGGCAACAGAACTGCAGGGTCTGAGTCCAAGTCAGACCTGCTGAGATAATCATGGTTAGTACCAGGGGATGTCAGCTCAAACCCAGGTCTGAGAGTGGGAGAATCATATAATTCCTCCCAGGCCTGAGACCTGAGTGGGTTGCACTTGAGATCAAGAGGGAGTCCGAGATACAGATAGCCTACTAACTTGTCCAAGGACTGTGTCTACTGGGAACATACACTATCTGGCACAATGGGGCCCCTATTCTGATCAGGGCCTTTGAGTGTACTATTCTCTAAATGTGGTGTGCATTGCAGGTATTAGTTGTAGAGCTGATCAGAAATATTTTTTATTTTCTGGGCTCCCTGGCTAAACTACTTCTCTCATGATGCACTACCATCTCACCTCTTCGTGAGCAACCTCAGTGCATCATAGGAGTTCCTGGCCACAATACATCATGGAACATGTAGTCTTGCTGGGAAACCTGGCCCATAGAAGAGACTATGGGTAGAGCCTGCAAATCTGCGGATATCTACTGTGATACAGCATGGCCAGAGGGCAGCAGGAGAGTGTTAGAAGGGAGCCTTATTCCCTGTAGAGGGAAGAAAGTTTGCTATAAATTAATTAAAGCACCTGAAGCCAGTCACATGATAACCCCCCCCTGCTTCTATCAGAGAAGAGGAGTTGAAGCAGAGTGGATTGGTGCTGGAACAGAGAGCAGTTTGGAGGGAAGCAGAGGAGAGTTTGGAGAAGTGCTGTGGTGGGCTAAGAAGACCAAGACCCTAGGTAAAGGGACATCTGGTTTGTGCAGAGGGAGAGGGCAGGAAGCCCCACAATCTGAAGGGCAGGAGAGGGAAGTAGCCCGGGAGAAGGAACCGCTAGTTCTAGTGGTTTACTGCTATCCCTAGGGCCCCTGGGCTGGGACCCGGAGTAGAGGGCGGGCCCAGGTCCCTCCATCTCCACTCCCCTCCTCTAGGATACTAGTGGGGCAGTTAATACCCCAGTTCAGGCCAAGAAACGGTGCCCTGAACCCCCACCCAAGAAGAGAAAGCGCGAGACCCATCATAGTAGTGCCGGCAATTTGCCACACTACTTTATATCTGCAGATATCCTCATCCAAATTCTGTATCCGCGCAGGGCTCTAAGTATGGGCATAAGGATCCTGATTTCATACTCCTAGGAATTGCTGTGGTGGTATTTGAAATCAAAATTTATATTTTTGGAAGTTTGTTTTTTCAGTTAAAAGTCCAAATTTTCCTGTGGAAAGCAAACACTGCAAAAAACCCAAAGCCAAACAAAAAAACCCAAACCCTCCCTCCATTAAAAAACATTTTTTGATGGAAAATTTTTGACCAGCCCTAGTTATTTGCCTACAGACTAGCTTTCCTTCACTCATAGAGTATCTAAGGTTTAATCTTGGGCTTTTTAGTTTATTTTTCAACTAAGTCCGTCGTCCCCCCCCCCCCTTTTTTTTTTTAAGTATTGCTTATTTTTTGTAAAGGATAATTTCTTTAAATTGATCGGTGGGAAGATAATTACCTTAATTTTGTTCCTTCATGATGAAAGGAATAGTTCATATGCATCATTTTGTTTCTCTCTCTCTCTCTCTCTCTCTCTCTCATATAACATAGTGGGAGTCTAGGTTTACAAAAAAAATCGTTCTTACTTTATCTAAACTGTCCTATGTGACTTTACCTTTTAATTTTGTTCTCTGTGCTCTATTCTATTATTTCCAAAGTATATTCACATTTCATTTCATCTGTGTTCTTTCTTTTGCCACAAAAAGAAACAAGCTTCTGTCGTCTTTCCCAGTTAGATCTTTCTTAGTTTCTAATGCTGTAAACCGAAATGTGATCAAATGCTGACATAAACAAACAAAAAAACTTTGAGACTTAATGCAGCCAACTGTGCTTGAAGTAACTTATTTCAGCTAAGCTGTTTTAGGTCTAAGGACACACACACACACACAATATGTTAAAAGGATATTAAGTTTGCAAAGTCAAGCACTCAAAAGTTAGGAAATGTCAGACTTAAGGTTGCACAGGTAACCTTAATTTGTCCCTCTTTTGCATATGCATTATGATACAGTCTTTAATTACACGATCATATGCTACTTTTTTTCATAGGACCACTACCTTATTCAGTGCATGGAATGGACAGGACTCACCGAATAAGCAACTATTCAATATTTGTTTTCTCCTTATTGTACATTGTATGTCTCCATGCTTTATTTACTGCCCACTATTCAAACCCACTAAAGACAGAATTATTAGATTGCTCATGGGCTTTTCTGTGGTGCTCATCACTATTGTTTCTGAGTTCTTCACAAACACTTTTTTTGTCTTCCCAATGCCCCTGTGAAGTGAGGAGGTGGTATTGTCCCAATTTACAGATGGGGAGCTGAAGCAAAGAGATTTTCTTCATGCAATCCCCCACCTCATTCACTGCACAGCTTCCAACTTCTGCAACAAATGTGTTGCATACAGACAACAGCCTCCTTTACTGTGCAAACCTGATTCATTCACAGAGCAGGTCCATCCAGTGCACTGAATGAGTTAAAACAGAATGTGATCGTTTCCCGCTCCAGCTTCCAATCCTGGTCAACTTGCGCAGCCAGTCCGAGGCTCCTCTTTCTATTCTTTCCCTCATTCCTGGTCCAGCTTTTGTCCCCTCTGCATTTTATTTATTTTTAATATTATTTTTATTTCCCCTCCTCCTTGCTGACTGTTATCCCTCTGCTGGCACCAGAGCACTGGAGACACAGGCTCCCTGCTCCTAGTTTCAGTGCCCAACCCTACCCCATTTGAGAAGTTATTACAGGGAAAGTCCAGCTTTGCTTCTGTAGCATTGAGCTGGAGCATTCTCAGTTGCACTGTGGGGGTGGGGTATATGCAATCTGATCAGATATTGGATCTGTAAGAGGCTGGAGCTTGCTCAGCAAGTATGGGATATTCAGAGGTCTCAGCTGCTAAACTCAGTCTCCACTGAGCATGTGCAAAATATGATCTTTAAAAAGGTTTACAACTTGGCCAAATTTGGGCTGATTTTTGCCCAAAGGTACATCCCTGACAAAAACAAAAAAACAAAAAAACCCCACTTTTCCTCCTTCAGCCCCACATTTTAATTGCGTTAAAAGCAGGAGGGGTCTAGAGCTGTTTTTTTTTCTTTAAAAAGATGTTTGTTTGTTTTTTATTTTTGTTTTTTAATACTGGTAAAAGTTGTTTTTTCTCTAGCCTCGTTCTTGGAAATGGCTGAATCATTTTGGCTGAAATTCTCCCAGAAACTTCAACCTGAGGCAGATACCCTGTCACGTAAAATTTCAGTTCAAATGGTTAAAGTCTAGCAAAGATCTAAGCAATTGAAAACAGGATCTTATAATGGAAGTGTCAGGCAACCTTAACTGGCATCACTATGCCCACCTACAATACAACAAAGATCTGCAATGTTTTACTGTAAGTCTTTCTACTATTACATGCTAATAAGTAGAACAAACCAAAGTAGAATAGCATAATAGTCACAGGGCAACTGCATTTTAATATCACTATTTTCATAAGCATTATTATGTTTTATTTTATGTTTTATTTTAATTTTAGGAGCTACAAAAATTGTTCCAGTTGAGGCTGCTCCCCCAGAAACTGAATCAGCAACAAATCCTGAGACAGCAGTACCAGACACAGCTCAACGAAGAGGGTATCAAGAATATGCCATTCAACAAACTCCATATGAGCAGCCAATGAAATCAAGCAGGTATTTTAAAGTACTTGGGTTCATGTTAAACTTGGGAGTGAAATGTTTCCTTATCCAGCATCATGTAAATGGAAATTCCTCCATTTGTTTCCCTTATTTCAGCAGGCAGAAACAGATTATACATCAGGTGAGTCAGAGTAGCTAGACCATTAGAGTCTGTCAAATATTAAGAGTTACAACAGTATAAGAAGTTAAAAATAGGTAAACAATCATCATAACCTAAAATAGCACCTTTGTCTATTGGAATTTACCTCTTTCTTTCATTATCCTTGAATGGTTTAATATCTTATCCTTCAGCAACTTTGTGAGGCAGATGTTAGCTTTCTCTCAAGAGAACCAATCTTGTCGTTATAAATTGAAGAGCTACAAGTTCAATGAAGTTAACTATTACTGCTACCAAAACTGAGTCTCCCGAATGTCATATTTCCACAAGTGCTGAGACTGTAAAATTTAACTGAGTTTCTGCAAATATGTTTACAGCATTTTCCCCCTTAATTTGTCTAATAGCAATAGTTCAGCACAATAAGGTTGGAAACGTAAACTTTAGAATGGGTTAGTCCTGAATTTAAAAAAAAAATAAATACAAGGGTTTAAAAAAAAATTAGATGTGCAACATATGACAGTTAGTTTGTCTGAGTCGGGGGGGGGGGGGTGAGAGGGGAGAGCAGGTGGAGTGTGAGAGGCATATCCACTAATTAAAAAATTAGCTTCTCCCCCATCCATAAAATGAAGATTTTTATATGCCCTTAGTCCATAATACACAACAAGGCTGCTTTGGCATATTTTGCAACTATATATCAGAATTCTAAAGATAACTATATTCTGGTTGTTTGGCTTCTTTCTAGGTTAGGTCCTACTCAGCTAAAAATTTTTACATGTGAATACTGCAACAAGGTGTTCAAATTTAAACACTCTCTTCAGGCTCATTTGAGGATTCACACAAACGAAAAGCCTTACAAATGTTCATACTGCAGCTATGCCAGTGCTATAAAAGCCAACCTCAATGTCCACATGCGGAAACACACAGGAGAGAAGTTTAGTTGTGATTACTGTGCATTCACCTGTCTCAGCAAAGGCCATCTCAAAGTCCATATTGAGAGAGTCCACAAGAAAATTAAGCAGCATTGCCGCTTCTGCAAAAAGAAATACTCAGATGTCAAAAATCTAATTAAACATATCAAGGAAACACATGACTTGCAAGACAAAAAAGTGAAAGATGTATTTGATGAGCTCCGCTTGATGACCCGAGAAGGCAAGAGACAACTGCTCTATGACTGCCATATTTGCGAACGTAAATTCAAAAATGAACTGGATCGAGACCGACACATGCTAGTCCATGGTGATGAAAGGCCCTTTGCTTGTGAACTTTGCGGCCATGGAGCCACAAAGTATCAAGCACTCGAACTTCATGTCCGAAAACATCCATTTGTGTATGTTTGTTCTGTGTGTTCGAAGAAATTTGTCAGTTCTGTAAGGCTTCGTGCACATATCAAAGAACTGCATGGACATTTACAAGAAACTTCTGTTTTTAACAGTTCTATCAATCAAAGTTTCTGCCTTCTGGAACCAGGAGGTGATATCCAGCAGGAAGCACTTGGAGAACAGTTATCACAGAGTGCAGATGAGTTCACTCCCGTAGGTGCTAATGCTCTTAGCGTACCAAAGCAATCTACTTGTAAAGGTGAATCAAATACCATAGATGGAAGCCATAATGATCTGCCTGGTAGTCTTCTGAAGATTGAGACTGCCCCTTCTTTAGAATTTGAAAACTTGCCGGTGGAGAATGTACCAGAAACACCACATCAACCATCAACAGACCTAGCAGCACCAGACCCTCAATCAGACCTGGCTTCAGATTGTTTCTTATTGAAAAATGATACCTGTGCTTCCAATGAGCTAAAGGCTTCTCATGAAAATGTGCAGAAAGTCAGTCGTGATAGTTCAGTGAATATGCAGGGTGAGGAAATTCCGCTGTTGTCTGGAGGCAAAAGCTCTAATATAAGTCAGAAAAATATAGACATTGAGAACCTTTCAGCTTCCAAAGAGAAAGTTCAACCCTTTTGTCTTAATGAATTAGAAACTAGCAAGTCACCAAATCAAAACACAGATGAGTCCACAAACCCTGCTACAGCATCAGATTCAGTCATCAGTCCACAGCTGGACTCTCATAATATGACTTCTGATAATCGAAGTGGAGCTGTTGCCTTTATGCAGATATTGGACAGTTTACAAAAGAGACAAATGAACACAGACTTGTGTGAGAAGATCAGGAAGGTGTATGGAGACTTGGAATGTGAATACTGTGGTAAGGAGCAGTGGAATACTGTGAGTTAGTTCAAATAAGTCACATAGCCATACTTTTTTCATTGCATTCTGGTTTATAGTTTGGTGCATTTGTCCATCTCTTCATTTGTAGCAATAGTAATTTCTGACTTAAGTACAAAGGTTCTGGGCTGGGTTCTGGTCCTCTGAAAATATTTTGTGCTGCATAAACAGTGCAAAATGAACTTAAATCTACCAAGGAAACCTTGGAAAATGGAGAAGGCCTGGCAAAGTGAGGTTCTGATATGCCTGATTCTCTGCTGGGGTAACATCCGTCTGGGATGGTATGCTTGCAACGTAAGTTTAAAGCTGCTGTTTTCTCTTCCTTTCCCGTGCCCCTTGCTGCTTTAACTTTTGCCGGGGCCAGGCAGAGCAGAACCAAGGAGTTGCAATCAGCTCACCATCAGCCCATGCTCTCCATAGTGCTCAAGCTCTGTATGGACCATAGTGGAGAATTCAGCCTTTCATGTTTCTGCAGTATGTAGAGATGTGTATATATACACCAGACATGTCTGATGACTTCTTCTGATAGCAAATAATGTAATGTTAAATTACTGATGTGGTTTCCCTTTGACATAACTTTCTCAAACAAATTCCTTTGGGGTGGAAATTTTCAATACTTAGTTTGAGACCAAAGTTATTGTTGTTTTGGTGAAAGTTACAAAAGTGGGGAGTAGCATACACTTGTCACCGATGTTCTGACGGAAAGTTTTGTGCTTGCATAATTCAAAAATGGAGAAAGTAAGAAACTCTGAACTTGTCTTGTTATAGTGTTCATTGCTGAGAAGGGAAAGGAATTCAAGTTTGAAGACATTCAGTAATTAAATGTAGAGTTATTCTTTAAAGTCAGCATATTTGTACAGGCATGTTCAAAGATTTTCTAATCACTTTTTTTCCTGGAGTCCTTATTTTAGAACAGTTTGGAACAGAGGGGCAAGTGTCAACAAGGCCTCCTGACTTATGGTTGGTTCAGCTAAACCATATTTACTACGAATTCCTGCATTTTCATGTTTTAATTAGGGGCACACCTTTTAAAGAACTTCCTCATTAGGAATACATTTGTTATGATATCCTCCATGAAGGGGTCCCTTGTTAAGATCTCTTTCTTTAGTACATGTCAATTAAGGAGATGCCACAATTGTTGTTTCTAAATATATTTGCATCAGTGAGGTGTGTTAAGATAATTTTGACAGCTAACCTTTCATTAAACACAGAAGGAAAGGATTCAGATGTTGTGGTTTGAATTGAAATTAAATATGTATTTGAATTCTTTATAATATCAATTTAAAAAAAATTCTTCAGAAAAAAAACTTGTTTTCATGTTTGATTGTTTAATCTTATTTTTAGGCAAGTTGTTTTGGTACCAGGTGCATTATGACATGCATGTTCGTACTCACACTCGAGAGCATTTGTATTACTGTTCCCAGTGCAATTATTCCTCCATCACCAAAAACTGCCTTAAGCGTCATGTCATTCAGAAGCACAGTAACATTTTGCTGAAATGTCCCACCAAAGACTGTGACTACTCCACTCCAGATAAATACAAGCTCCAGGCACATCTTAAAGTTCACACCGAGCTGGTAAGTACAAATGAAATAGTATTTTTTTTAATCTAAGTTTTATGTCATCACCATAATTTTCAAAATCAAGTGACAATATTACATGACGTGGATAGTTTATTTCAAGTGCAATTGGCTATAATAATAATACGATACCTGTATCTGGACCCACATTTGTAAAATATTATTTATGCTTGAGAAATGATATATGTATTAAATAAATACTGATATAATTCAGGGTAATGCCATTGAGACTGGTTTGGCAGTCAGCAGTCAGTCTTCTGGAATATGCTACCTCCAAGTTTGGGTTCCTTCAGTTGTGGTCATGGAGTTTCTTTTTGAAATTTTTAGTAACTTTAGAAAACTTTTTAAAATGTTAGTTTCTTGTTCCCTTTGAAGAGTCAGTGTAGATACCCACTCTTGGATTCTACAGGTACCCGGTTTGTTGAGATGGAACCTTCTAGTAAGCCGTAGTTATTAGGGCAGAATGCAACTCCCTTGTGGTGCCAAACATCAGACATGAAACTGTAAAAGGGATTGTAATCCTAATGGTCCCATAGTGTATTTTTATTGTTATTAGCATTTAGAAAGACACCACACAATTGTGAAGTTTCCAGGATCTATATCTTATTGATTTACATAGTTCTTATCACTTACGGCACATCTATGTCCAATTCAGTGCAGGCTTGTCAGCCCTATTATTTTGCTTCATTGGGTATGAATATGCCATTGAGCATGGTGGATCCCATGAGAAGTTCCCATATTTGTGAGAAGTGGGTGTTGAAGCTTAGAGTTCTCTTGCTTGCAAAGGCATTTCAGGCACCTGCTTCATAAGGACCTGGCATTTCAGAGCCTGGAATGTCATTTGTGTGAAGGTTGAAGTCTGGCTCCAAAAAGTCTTCAGATTCCAAGAATTGAGTTTGACACAGACTACTTCCTCCTCTGCATCAAAGAAGAAGGAAGCGGAGATGTGACTGTTCCCCTCACCTTCACCTATAGCCCCATAAGAAATTAGCGATGAAGCTTGCATGAGGTGTAGATTGGTATAGGAGGGAATTTCATTGTCGTGGGAATTGGCACTTAGAGATTCTTTCTTGTCAGGGGATACTTTTATATTGTCTGATTCCCTTTTGGTTACCTTATCACCTTCCTCAGAGTTGGTTGGGTTTACAGCTCCAGTGCTGCTGAGTAGCCAAAGAGAGCTTAATCTAGCATTGTCTTCTCTCCAGTTTTATCTTTTTTAGACTGTAGTCAGGATCCATTCCTGATCATGTCTCCATTTGATATCAGGCATTTAGAAGCTACTTTGGTTCTGAGGCTTAAAACCTGAGAGCTTTGCCATGTTGCCAATGGGATGGAATTGTAGGCCCATTCCAGGGAGTCCTTAGGCCTTCAAATCTCCTATACAGTATACTTGTTGCTTGCAGCTTCTTTTTAAAAGGCTGAGGCATTCAGAAAGTGCCTTTGTCCTGCAGGTCATGTGGTTATTCCTCCTTTGGCTTCATATTCTTCCTGATGTTCTATGATGGGTCTCTTATATGGAGTATAGTCTTGCTGGCCTGTGTAACTAACACATAATTGAATTTTCTGTTTCAATGAAAAATTCCCCAGAGGGACCTTGAGTAGTTTTTTTTTTCCCCTCCCCAACTGAATCAGTCTGTTAACATCCTTCTGTTTCCGGGAGACTTGAATCTCCGGTACTTCACATCTGTCCTAGGGAAAATAAAAAGATAAGGATTAAGTTGAAGAGGATTCTTTGAATCAGTTGGCTGCTTCTTCCTCCTCTGATGAGGCTATGGGTGCTTCATATCCTTTTCCTGAAGGATTTCAGAAGCTTTAAACTTGACCACCAGAATGGAAGAAGCTCCAAGTACAGAGTTATTCAAAAGAACGTGAGACGTCCCTTTACTTACTTGATATTTTAGAGTAGCAGAGGAAGGGCAGCTAGCTTTTTCTATGAATCTTCTGAAGCTGATTAGATACGTTTTGGGAACAGAGGCAGAGGTCAGCAAGAAGTATCTTATCTGTCTAACCTCTGTTCTTATATGACACCCATATAAGATGGTTCTTCAAGTGTTGGTCCCTCGGTGTATTCCCCTGATGGTGTGCATGCGCTCTGCTAATGAGATTAGAAGATTTTTACAGGCAGCTGTTAGGGGGTTTATTCCTTCACCCACTTACTTTCCTGGTCCTTCTCACATGAACAGAGAGCAACAATACCCGAAGTCCAAAGGTGCAAACAATTCGATGTTTATTGGGTCAACTTCCAGCAAGCATGATTCCAGTTTCCTTCCTTAGTGTCCCCCTTCCCAGCTCTGACACTACAGAGCCTTACACCTGTGTCCCTGTTCCCATTCCTGCCCTTAGCAAAACATGATTCCAATTTCCCCAACCCCATTTCCCCACCCACCCACTTCCTGATTGACTGCAGACTATATAGTAAAACTTGAATTCTACTTAGCTATACCTTAACCAATCATTTTACTGAAATTTAACTAACCAATCCTAACATATTGTAACATGATTATGTAACCAATTATTTCCCACCGCCTTAATTAGTTTACACCCAGCAAAATTAATTATACAGCACACAGAAACAATCACAGAACCAGACAGAGATTATACAGACAAACAATGGGGAAATGGGGACTACAGTGATAGAACAAATGCAGAAATGAGGATTTCACATCCCAGCTATTGATAAGTGAGTTCTTGCCAGACAGGATGCTATCAAACGAAGTTTCCTTTTACATCTTCTAGGCACTTCCCTTTCTCTGGAGGCGATAGGCATTATCAGGACAGGATTGTATTCCTAACAGCCCAATAGCACCTTATTTCCATGTGACTAGTTTGGGATGTGAGGCTGTGATTGTTCGCTTCCCAGCTAATGGTTGCCTCTGCTGCTTAGCCAAAGGCCTTAGCCTAAGCCCAGGGCCTCAGACTGTCACAGTAAGAGAAGGCCCTTACACCGGCAGACAGTGATTTTGATTCTTTCTTGTATACTTCTATAACTACCCAAGTGATAAGAATACACCTAAATTCTTAGAGTATAGGTCTTTACAGACAGGCCTGAATATTTATATCCTAACAGCAGCATCCATCATTCCATGCCTGGGCCCTTTTCCTCTTTGTGCTCCAAATCGAAGGTATAAGGGACAGGATGGATTGGCTTCCTCTCCACTTCCTTTCTACCATCCTTAGTTTGTGACAGAACTTCTTCAATGACTGCAGTGATATCTCACTCGGCAGGCCTCAGTCGATGTGGTGGATATGGCCTTCTGCTCGATGGTGACAGCTATAGTCATATGGAGGGCTTTATGGCTCCTATCCTCTGGGTTCCCTGGGAAGGTACAAGTTACAGTTGAAGATTAATCCTGTGAGGGAGACAACCTGTTCTGTGAAAAGACGCATAACTCATTAGATTCACTGAAAAACTCAAGGGCAACCCTTGGTCCACTGGGAGTCTCCACTTCAGCACCAAAAAGTAAGTACCACAGGCCTCAGCCCTATAGATGGAGACCAACACCTCAAACATTTTAACCAAAGGGGATATGAACCACCAAGAAAACAGCCTAGTGTACAATGTAGCAAACCTAACATTCCCCCTCTTCCTCCTTCCAGCCCTCACCTCCACATAAGAAACTTCAGAAAACGACCTTTGAGGGCTGCCGAGTTGTAATCTATCCAGATGTGCCTGTGAATTAAACTTCATAACTCGGCTAGACACCAAAACCAAGCTCTGAACAGAGAGACTGGTTTTATGGCTCATTACAACAATTTTAAAACACCCTGCTACTGCTAACCCTCCTTTGTCCTACGACTGTAAAGGTGTTAATTGCCCATTTCATTTTAAGTGGTCCCCTACAACATGTGTTAATTCCTTGTACTTAACAATCAGTCCTGCCTTGTATTTAGCTGTGACACACTGGTTACCTTCTACAGACTGGAGGAAGAACTCTGTGAAGCTCAAAAGCTTGTCCCTTCCAGTCCACCAACAGAAGTTAGTCTAATAAAATATATTACCTCATCCACCTTGTCTCTCTAAATACAAAAAAGTCCATTTTAGCTCCCACAGAGTTTATTGGGACAACATGCATTTTTTTTCCTCAGGACAGGTTCCAGCCAATAAAGGAATGTGTCACTTAGCTCCAACTGAGCCCACAGATATCAGTCCATTCATGTCTCATCCTTCTAGGTTACATCTCTTCCTGTAGATATGTGACATCCTTTGTGAAACTTCTCCTTCATTGCCTGCTGGCTTGGCTTCAGGTGGTTTACTTACTGAGCAGACAGTGTGGACAAACTAGTCTTGCTTCCCCCCAGAGTTTGAGCTTCTCTGACTTGGTGGGGGAGCAAGTGTGTGTGTGTGGTTCCCTTCATTCCCCACCCCAGCCGAGAAGACCTTAATCATGGATGCCTGCTTATTAGGATTCAGAGTAACAGCAGTGTTAGTCTGTATTCGCAAAAAGAAAAGGAGTACTTGTGGCACCTTAGAGACTAACCAATTTATTTGAGCATAAGCTTTCGTGAGCTACAGCTCACTTCATCAGATGCATACTGTGGAAAGTGTAGAAAATCTTTTAATACACACAAAGCATGAAAAAATACCTCCCCCACCCCTCTCTCCTGCTGGTAATAGCTTATCTAAAGTGATCACTCTCCTTACAATGTGTCTGATAATCAAACTGGGCCATTTCCAGCACAAATCCAGGGTTTAACAAGAACGTCTGAGGTGGGGGGTTAGGAAAAAACAAGGGGAAATAGGTTACCTTGCATAATGACTTAGCCACTCCCAGTCTCTATTCAAGCCTAAGTTAATTGTATCCAATTTGCAAATGAATTCCAATTCAGCAGTCTCTCGCTGGAGTCTGGATTTGAAGTTTATTTGTTGTAATATCGCAACTTTCATGTCTGTAATCTCGTGACCAGAGAGATTGAAGTGTTCTCCGACTGGTTTATGAATTTTATAATTCTTGACATCTGATTTGTGTCCATTTATTCTTTTACGTAGAGACTGTCCA